TTGGCATTCTTAGGAATGGTAGACTCCTCGAATAATTGAACATATTGACCTCTCGTTATGTTAGGCTGACATCAGCTCAATTGGTTGCTATAACTCATTTAGGCTGCATTATACAATTACCCCAATCCATTTTTATCTGCAGATCAAACGCAGGCCATGCATCGCATGTACCTAATACATGGTATTAATGACGGTGTGACCTGGCTATGAATTTACCGTTTTAATGACTCGTAATTTGCGGTACGAATCGTCGGCCGTGTGTCTACCCTGTAAGAGGGGCGCGCTTCTTGATCGTCGCCAGCCGTGCGAATCGTAACGTTGCGGGGCAGCTCCTCGTCGAACCATCGGTCGCGGCCCCACCGGCTCGTTGGCTATGGCCGGTCTTGTCCCGTCATGTCCTGCAGGTCGCGTCTCGCGCGCCACGACGCGGTCTAGACTTGCGGTCGCAGTGGCGGTTGATCGAGGGTGGGCGAGGGAGGAACCAGGGGCAGACCCGGAGCTGGGGTTCAGGGGGGGGTGCAGGGTGGAGGGTATGGGATGGCAGGAGGGGCGTGGGGGAAGAGACGCTATTAACGCAGGCAACTCACAACATGCCGCTGCTGGCTGCTACGCTTTGCTCAACTCGCCCAGGGAAATTTTGGCGCAGGAAGCCACAAACTTCTGCCCTTTTGCAATGCCAAAGGCAGTGTGGGGCTTCTGGACACAAAGGCCGCATTGTCTCGTCTCCAAAGCCACCCACCGGAGTGGTGCAATTATAGCGCAGAGGTGTGAAGGGAAAGGGGTCCCATCAGATGAGTAACGCTTGAAGTATTTTCACGACCGGTGGCGTTGTGGTGACGGGCGAGGCGCCGTTTGATGGCCGACGGGTTTCAGCGGCCGTCGAGATCGTCGATGACTTGGAAAAGGCTCCTGAAAAAAAACGGCGTAACACGTTCTCTGTGTAGCCACTGCTGTGTTAATTGTCCACGAAAAAAAAGTAAATGTTAAGAGCAGATGTAGAGTTTTGTGTCAAATAATAGCGCACCGAGCAGGGCTATTCTCCGTTATATTTATTGTCGTGAATTTTGCACGTTTTTTTTTTCCACGCCCCGTTTCAGTTTTATATCTTCACATTCGGTGCACTAGAACGCTTCCAATTTGCGAAAAAGCATAACTTTTGAAAATAGAAAACACGTGCAGATTTTGCCAGAAAAGGTGCACATGTTTAAGCAAATGACAGAATTGTCTAATTCACTGCGGAGCAAAGTGTCAGTGTTTATGTGAACAGAAGGACATTAAATAAAGGCAAGAATTGTGCCGGGCTGTTGCCAGTGACCTGTGCGTACATGTGCCCCAACCTTCTGTAGACCAAAGAGATTTACTGTGCTGAAGCACATTCTACGGGGACCCGGAATTTTTTTTTTGCGAAACCTCGAGTTAGTATTCTTAGGCGATGTTGCATTGCACTCATCAAGAACTTTAAAAGGCTCCTAACGCCACCAGAGACACGGTCTGCTAGCGGCGCCGTGTCTCTCCCGCTGCCCTTCGGTGATAAATTATGTTTATAAAGTGAATGGTTTTTTTGTGTACGTTAGACATACTTCAATAAATGAGTACATTGAAGCGAAATTTGAAGTTCTCCTTCTCCAGCACATGCTTATTTGTGTTTGGTCGCGATTTATATATATATTAAAAAAAGAGGTGGGCCGATTTGAGCGGCTTTTTTGTTGTTGTTGTTGTTGTTGGAGTGTTTGGCGGCTGTGAGAACGCGGTAATATGACGAAAGCAGCAAATCCCCGACCGGGCACGCCGGGGTCATAAATCAGTCATGGTGCCATCACGTTGAAAACTGTCAAGGCGCACGACGATACATTCCGCCCTGTGCTCCTCACGCACTCCACTTACAAAGCCGGGGCAGTACTGTGTGTCCCACCACCCCCTCCCCCTACTTGAATTTTGAAGCAACAGAAATAGGATGTCACCACGAAGGGCGATCAGGTCAAGTTTCCAGATAAACCTCCTTCCCACCGGTGACTGACAACAAATAGGCTATTACGTTGCACTCATCAACCTGTTAAATTTCTCTGATGCAGCGAGGCGCTGGATGTTATGGATGGTGTCGAGGACGGCGGTTGGGGGGAGGTTGGCGGGGAGGGGCGGTGTAGCAGGCAACCTCAGGACCAGCTACCTGTTATTATAACCCGACAGCCAGCGGCTCCTCGTCGCAGAACGGGATGATAGAGTGCGCGGTGAAACGTCTGCCGCTGTTTCGCTTGTGGGTTTTTGCCGCGCTGCGCGCTTTGATTGTCACGGCGCGGTTGGCTCGGTGTCGGGTGCCACCACTCGGCCCGCCGTTGCTGTGTCTCGAGGCGTGCACCAGACCCGTGGCCGTCGTCCCGAGTGATCGCTTCGGGAGCCCGTTGCTTTTTTGGACGCTTCAACCGCGTCTGGCAGGGAGCGGCCTGCGACGAACCGCGCGCAGCAAGCGACCGTTTTGCTCGTTACGACGGCGCAATTATGCCGGGCTATGTCACTGCTGCGGATTTGGGGTGAATGATCGCAGTTGCCTTGATCATATCAGTCAATTTTTCATTTCCTTCCTCGCTTTTTCAAAAAAATTTTTTTTACCGTGAATGAACGTGAGGCTGTACGTGTTGTCACGGTGGCGCATTTGTTTCTGGGCATGTGCACTAAAAAGAAAAAATCCTAATTATGGGCTGTCTCCGTGGGAAAATGCGCATATTACAGGTTGTGTGTGTGTGTGTGCGAGCAGTAAGAGATATTCTTGACGTGACACATGCGGAGTTATTACTGCAGGGTGTCTTCATAGACTGCAATCAGTAATGACAGCAGCCAAAACAAAGTGCAGACAGGTGTGTTGATGTTGTGTCTATGGATGTACACCGGCCTTCGCTGCTCTTGAAACGTTTAGGAAACACGAGTCGTCCTTTTTTTTCACGAGCCGATGCCAATCTAATCTGATAGTTGCATATTTTTTGCTTTTCATTGTCTGAACTTAAATTCTCAGAATGTAGCTTTTTATTTATATATTTATCACAGCGGCGCTGCGTTCAATATTTCCCCAGCCATCAGGATACTCCTAATTAACCGAGTGCGCCATTCACTCGACTAAGAATGCACAAATTCGGCTGAAAGCATGCCAATTTGTTCGTGAAATTATTGGAAAAATGGCGGCCATGCCCAAGCATTCACTGGCCAAGACATACATTTAATATCGAACGGTGACAACGGTGAGTGGGATCGTACTGCGAAAAGCTGCTGAGCTTCTGCATACCAGCCAGGCTGGCACCCGGCCCATCTTCATTAAGTTTTCCTTCATTAAGTTCGACAAAATATGTGCTGCCCACTCTGCCACCCTTTGTACAAACACGCGAGTTTGTACTTTGATGCTGTGCCATGTCACTAACCAGCGTCGTGCTGAAACAGTGAATCGATTATGAAAACATAGATAAATCGAGATTTTTGTTTATTATATGTAAATATCACCGTTCGATTAATCAAGAACCATTTCAAAATGGAGGATGCTGGGCATCTGTCCTCCAAATATGCTGGAAACTCCTTGCAATGCATGCCCAGTGTGATGTAGTGACGAGGAATGGTGATGATAATGATGCTGAGGTCATTGATGTAATTAAATCTTGAACTTCAAAATGTTCTTGAGGCTCGTTTGGACTTTCATTTGTGTTTGAGGAAATGGTATGCATATGGTGTATGCGAAATTCTGTGTATTACACTTGCCAAAAGAGTAATCTAAATACTTATTTACTATTTCAGTAGCTGATAGTTGCAGCTTATAAAACCAACACAAACCACATCAGTGACATATATTTAGCCATCTGTTTACCCAGAAACACCTCACTGAGTCTCAAGGCTCGTTTTTCAGGATCCTGCCTTGGCGTGTTCCCACTCTTTTTCGTATTGACTTGTATTTTTCTCAGGTATGGCGTTTTTGGAGGTTTGGTTGCATGTCAGTGGTGGTCTATAATTCAACATTGTGTTCGTTAATAATTGGTGAGTTCCATTAATACTTTTTGGCATGTTAGAGGAAACCATGTTACCTCGAGACATGCTGCGAGGCGGTGACGCTTAATATTTGCGTGTAAAGTATGTCTACAAGCTATTTTATTTCGTCGTTAATTGTATCCAAGTTTTCAGGAGACCGCAGCGAAGTCTAAAACCTTTTTTTCAGGATTCTATTCAGGAATGTTTTTCATTGCGCACGTACATTAGTATAACGTAGTGGGTGTAAAAGTATTTATGGTAAAGGCACGGCCCGGCAATGACTTCATCACGTCAATTCTGGGGTAACGGCGTCCACGAGAAAAAAAAAAACTGTAGAGCACCCCTCTCGAGTGTGTTTGGCCTACTCTTCCACACTTGGCCTGCTGGTCAACCAACTGTGCCACAACCCATTCGCACTGCTGACCGTACAGATGCTATGGGCATTGAAGACAATTGACAAAATTGTTTCAACTGCTGCGCCGGAAGAGCCAAACCACCCCGACGACCTCTGCATTTCAAGTCCAGTGTTGCTAACCATCATACCACGGCGGCCTACCAAGAGTGGTTCTAGCCCGGTCCACTGCACGGAGGTCGCTATCGATAGGGCACCACGGCGGCTTGGAAATGTTAACTACCTCGCCTGGTATGCAGAAGGTCGTGGGTTCGATCCCGACCCTGACGCCTGCGGTATATTTGGAGTTTGCTTGTTCTTCCGATGGTTGCGTGGATTATTCTCCGGGTCCTCCGGTTTTTCCCTCCACATTTAGAAACATGCGTTCAGGGTATTAGGCTGCTATAAATTCCCATGTGATAAGCCACTTCGTTGAGCTTTCATCTGTGGCCAGGTCGCATCTGAAAAACGAGCGAAATAGCTCAGTGGGCCTTACATGGTAAAAAAAAACTGTTTCGTTTATTATTCATAACCCGAGCCCCATGACACCGAGCTCAGAAAGCGCAGCCATCTTTGAGGCCGTCACTAAGTCTTGCTTTGTGTTCAGGTGGGAACAAGCTGAAGAAGCAGCCCTTCCGGCTCAACTGGGCGTGGATTTCCCTGGAGCGTGAGTACTACCTGGTGGACGAGGATGCCAAGTACTTGGAGGTGGTGCTCAAGCGACGGGGCTATCTTGGCGAGACCTCCTTCATCAGTGAGTGCCAACCAGCAGAACGGATACAACCACGGATGCCACCCATTTTGGTTTTGCCAGGATTTTTTTTATTATCTGGGTGGCCAATTTGTGCCAGAAGTGTGCCACGTGTTTAAGCAAAAAGTTAAATTGATTTGAATTCACTTCTTGAGCTAGCTTTGTCGTGGGGTATCTCTAAATCGTTTTAAAATCCAGTCATTGGATTTTGCATAATAAAACGGCACTAAAGACAACGCATTACAATATACTGTAACGTTATTCTCACCTTTTCCGCTATGGTGAGGTATTCCTATTCCCGTGATATGTTCCAGTGTTTTGTGCCTCAGAGGTGGCAACCCGAGCCATTACACAGAATCATCGTCCAGGTAAACGAGCAATGTCATACAAAAAATGATTTGGCCAGATAGTGCTGTTTTGTTGAGAGTAGGTAGATAGGGTGGATGTCAATCTAGATTTGAAGTTTTCGTGACTGCAGGGATCCATACTCTTTGGCTCTTTCGGTAAAGTCACGTAGGTATAAAACAAAATAAATTAAATCACGACGTTTCGGGCGCAACACAAGTGCCCGTTATCAGGTGGAAACAATTGTTTAATGCTGTGGTTGTTTCCACCTGATGACGGGCACTTGTATTGCGCCCGAAACGTCGTGATTTAATTTATTTGTTTTATACCTACGTGACTTTACCGAAAGAACCAAAGAGTAGGGTGGATGTCGTTGCTTTAATACGTTAATTGTGGATAAATAATACAAGGAAGAAAATTCTGCAAAAAAATGTGAGTGATGATGTGTTCCATGCCATCTCCTTAAATAGCATGCTGGACGGTCAGGGAGTGTACTTTTCAGTATGATGCTCCTGACTGCTGCACTTTGGCTACGATTACCCACAGGACTGGAATATAATCTTACTGAGCCTCGCTTGTCAGCATATAATTCCTCTTCAGCCAGAGCAGGTTTTTGCCTTGGGCGCTGGAAGAATTTCAACAGTGGGCACGATCCACCAAAACTCATAAGCATTAGTGGGAATTTGGGAATTCAAAATATTGTCCTGGCTTAGGGCCAAGAATGACCTAAACTCAAGCCTGGCAAATTATGAGAGGCCATTCACAGCTTAGCAAGTTTTGGGGCACAATAACACTCCCAACTGCACTGTGCACTGTGCAGTGTACGCCCAACTGAGAGATGTGTTTGTCAAGAGGCAATCGGGGCTAAGCGCTTGCGTGCGCTCCCTTGCCGACTTACACTTTGGTTGCCAGCTGTCCTCGTTTTACCAGGGTCAAATTTATTTTTGAGGTAAACTATCCTGGGAAATATGTAAGTCTTCTGAGGGAATAATAAAAAAAAATCTGTCCCAGGTTTGGTCAGTTGTGGAAAAGTACAATGCTCAAGACAATGTATTTACACGTAATTTTCCCTCTCTGCTGGGCATTGCGAGATATTCTCCTTCCCACGATGTGTCCCATTTTCTATTTTGATTACCTCGGAGGTCGTAGCCCCGGCCATGGCAAATGCGCCCGATTTTGGGGACGCTTTCCATCGAGGAAGATCCATCGGGGCCTGGCTGCACGCCTGGCTGTGCTCTCCTTGCCGACCTGCGGACACTTTGACCCCCTTGCGGGGGCACAGCTGCGCAACCGGGCTGGCTTCTTGTTTTGCACCTGCGTTAATTTAGTTCGTGGATCCAGTTCCTAAGCAGCTTTTGCCTAATCGCCGGGCTAATCCAGTGGCAGCCCGTGCCGCCCAAGGAGCAGCGAGCGGGCAGGGATGGAGTGGGTGGGAGGGGGGGGTGAGGCGGGGATTTTGGGCCGTGGGTCCCGTAAGCGGATGAGTGCGGGCGAGACGGGTTCCGCTAAGCAATGCCCGGTGCCCTCCCTGCGCCCGGATCCGCGGTAGTCTGCGCCGGCGTGACGGCTTAGCTGACATTTAGAGGCCTCGAATCCCACGACCTGGGAAAGCAGTTGCCACTTCGTTACAATAATAATTACGGTGGCTTAAGCTGCCCGCCCTGCCTCAAACTCGAGCAGGGTCCGAGAGACGTTGTTTTGAAATGGTCGGGCATTTCCGTGGAAAACATTCTGAGTCGCGTACGGATGTTGGAACTTCTTTCGGGCCGTATGTAGCCAACCATGCTAATCTGAGGAGTAATACATATGAAAGGTTAAAAGGTCATGGTGTAGTCCTGCCAGTGATTGGTGGAAGGACTTCGATGAGAGGGAGCTCTAGAAAACCCCTTTAATTTGGCCTACTCTTCCGCACTTACTTACTTATATGGTTTCAAAAATAGTTTCTCATTCAGCATGTATACAGTGAGATTGAAGGATACGGCCAACGTGGAACAGATATTTTATCGCATCCCCAGAAAAATACACTGAACTGGGTAACATTTACAGTCCTTTCATAACTTCACTGCATGTACTGTACAGTCCAATAACAAATCCTCAATTTATCCTAAACATTAACAATTCCAAAACACTCATGACTTTTGACCCTAAACTATCATAGCATGTTCAGGTCGTAACTCTTCTCAAGTTCATAATATTAGACCAAAACATAGTGAATCACCTCTTGTTGCTGTTATTTCATAGCAAGAGCATATTAACTCATCCATTCTTACGTGCTGCCATGTTGATCTTGCCTCCCACACAAATGGTGTATCTGTCCTTTACACGGTGCAGTGGTTCCTGCTCTGCACTACCAACTCTTGTTACCTAGATTATTTAGATTATTTGACTGCTATAGATTTCCACACGATAAGCCACTTCGTTGAGTTATTGTGTGTGGCCAGGTTCTGAAAAAGAACCTGGCTCAGTGGGCTTTACCTGATAAAATAAAATAACAAGTTTAGTTTCAAATTATGTATTTCAACGTATTTGCTTACCTTTCCTATACCTTGCATTCCTATAGTTTTTTTGTATTGTTCGTTGTTGCAACGTTCTGATCCGCCCCTACTGGTCCTGTGTTACAAAGAGCTTCATAGCTCATCTGATTTCTCCAGGATAAATAAAGATTCTGTTTCTGACCTAGGATCGACTCCTTCTTCGTACCGTTTCCTTTTCAGAATTGCAATCGACGATTTAACGAGCACGCAAATGTATTATTTACAGATTTAGCTTTTCCTTTCATTTTAACGTCGCTTTTAAACTCTTTTGTTTTATTTGCCCAATAATAATTAAAATACACGAGACATTGAAAATCATGAAAGTTACTTTTGTTTTAGCTTCTCACACACTTAGCGTATGGAGCGGTGGTGCAGGTTGTGAAGTCAGTTACGTGAGTTCGATTCCCAGTCACGGCTTACATCAGTGGCGATCGATACCCGAACCATTCCTGAACCTCCCCCCCCCCCCTTCAGTCACTCACACAAAGGCAGCGTTGCGAAGTCGGGTCACGACCGACACGGCACGCGGAGGCTTTCATCCAGCAGTGGATTGACAAAGGCCTGTAAATTATGATGTATGTGCGTACTTCACATTATCGCTGGTTATTGTTAAAAACTTAAATTATGGTCACCCAAATTTTTTTTTATCTATCTCTTCTAAGCTGCAGCGACTTGAGAAAATGCAGTCTCTTTAGCCTCTCAGCTGGAATGTTCAGATTAATTTTCACCCCCCCCCCCCCCCACTCCTGATGGGTTGTGTGGGAGCACAAAAATAATGTCATTAAGAAAAACTGATAAATGTCCCCTCAATTTTCTTTGTCTTGTATATTCGTACGTTCGTATATTCCTTAAATGGTAATGTTCAAGTTTATCAGTTTGTAATACAAATGAGCAATAACTATAGTGCAGTGCAGCATTTAAAGTATGTGGTGCATTTTTTCTTTATTCATGAGAATAAAATGCATAGCCACTCCAGCATGGCATGGTGCATGTAACTTTTAGAAACCGACCTCTAAATGATAATACATTGTGAACCGATGGATGTGCCACATTGCCTTTGAAATAGTCTTCAGATTTATAATTAATTGTATGCATAATTTATCACATTACTTTACAGCATGAGTGAAATTTTTTTAGAACACACTTTTAATTTTGAACAAGAGTGATTTCGCGAAGCAAAGAAGGGTAATTGGCTGACACGTCAGCTTACTATACACACTCTGTTGTCGGGCAATGCTAATGACAAATGTGGTGAGGTTTTATTTTGTTTATGCACTGCATGTATCACAATCCCGCAATTATGCTGATCCACAGCATCTCCATTTGTAAAGACCACCTCAGATTGGTTTCCTGCCTATGAGACAAGATACTGGAAATAAAATCATTAAGAATGCATGCAGCTCACAATTAATTTAACCAAAGCACTTGCAACACCAATGAGCAATTTTCTTTTGAATGTTTTATAATTGGCAAAGGAATGCGAGTCTTATATCAGCAAGCAAAATGATTTGTCCAGGGCGACGATTCAGGCAGCAATCAGCAACATGGCCGTTTAATTTCATGTATCTTGTATTGCATGAGCCACAGTGGAAACTGCCCCCAATTCAGTCCGTGCAAAAACCCCTATTATCCACGGATCCAATTCTTCCCATTATCTGTACTCGTTCAGACATAAGGGGAGGAACCTTGAAGTGGCAGCAGATTCTTCCGATGAATCGCGGCTATCACGGATAACGAGTCGCGGGAAGCGGCGCTAAAACCCCATCCTGTTATCTGTGCCTTTCCGCGCACGAGAGGAATGAGCACGGATGTGGCGACGGTTTGCTGCATCGTGCGCTTTCGGGTGCGCTTTTGCGGCCGTCTGGAATGCTCTTCTTTCCGATATCAGGAAGCCATTGGAGCCTATGCGCTTTAAAATCTAGTGTGAAAACGAATTTCTCCAGAAGTTCGACGTGCGTGCGTACAAATTCGCGACTGACTCGCCGGTGCCGCGCACGCAGGCATCGGGACGCGTGACGGCACGGCGGAGAAGGAGAAGGACTTCAAGGGGAAGGCGCAGAAGCAAGTGCAGTTCAACCCGGGCCAGACGAGCGGAACGTGGCGGGTGCGCATCTTCGCCGACGCCGAGTTTGAGACGTCCGAGACGTTCCAGATCGTGCTCTCGGAGCCCGTGATGGCCGCCCTGGAGTACCCGGACATCGCCACCGTGGAAGTAGTGGACCCGGGCGACGGTGAGGATCCGTTTTTGGGTTGTTTCTCATCGCATCGCCGTCGCCATATCTTTCGCGCACCTTCGCTTGCGCTTGTCGACAGCTGATCGCATCCTCCGATGAGCTCGGTTGGCTACGTACGGTGCGAGATGAGTTCAGCGTGTGCACATACATGGCGGGATTCGCACAAAAAACTTAAGGGGGTGGAGTGGGGTGGTGTGCACGGCACAGTCATTGCTAAGGACACTTTAAGTGAATGCTCAAGCAGAATGCACGGTAGACAAAAGCGAATGATACCATGCATTACTGATTCTGCTGAGCGTTTAGCTTTAATCAGAATGCACAGTCGGCTGTGACGCCTCCTGTGCAATGCCCCCCATCCCTCGGTTGAATAAAAAAATTATTTAGAAGAGAGGGCTCTTCCTTCATCAGCAGTGGGGTTCCAGCACCCTCAAATGTTGCGACCTAACCCAAAACCCTTCATTATGAACAACATTGGTCGCGATGGCGTCCATGTCACACCACTGTAGTTAGGCATTGCTATGCCATGCACAGGTTTATAACAGTAATTATTATGAGAAGATCACACCTTAAGTACAATGCCCAGGTGTCAGACAGTTGAAGGCGAATTTTTTATTCATTATAGAATCTTGATGACGATTGCTTGCGTTGCGATAGAAACGTCACGATCTATTATTTTTTCTACCTACGTGACTTTACCAAAAGGTACCAAAGAGTATAATTATAGAATGTCTATCGGTTAATACATCTCCAACAAATATAGTTCAAGAACAAAGGCCGTTTGAAGCTAGACGTTTGCCAAAAGTGGACTATTCATAACATTACATTGAAATGTTTGTGATGCCAGTTTCTTTAAATTACAGAACAGACAGAGATGTAAATAATGTACATTATTAACAAGGGTTTACAGTTACGCAGGATATTACATTAATAATGAGGTTTTACCATTTCGCGGAATACACTGTCATCGCTGTTTCTGCACACATGTGTTGCACATGCAGATCTCGCTGCACAAAGAGTGATGCAAAACAAATAACAGTTGGTACACCCTGAACGTTTGTGGTTTGGAGATTTAAGCTGAGGCTTCCCAACTCCTACTTTCCAAACAACACATTTCCTGAGTCTCATTAAACGCTTGGCTTGAGAAAGTGTCCGCTTTGCTGAAGTGGCATTCTCAATGGACAACCACAGAATCTGCAATTTAAAAAATTTCCCCTTCTGACTTCAATTGTGTTTTTTAGATTTCTTTTCATCCCCCCCCCGCCCCCCCCCCCCCCCCCCCCCCCCCCCCCCCCCCCCCCCAGTTTTATACAAATTGTTATTTCGGCGTCACGCCATGAGACGTGAGGATACTTTCTGGTCTCTCGCAGAGCAGTTGCAATCCTTTGTGTTAGCGAACAAACCCATGTAAGCGGATATCACAGAGCTACCGCTGAGATCACCTTCAAGTGACCGCTGGCCCACAAAGTAGATGGCAGAACTTTCCCACCTACCCTGCATATGAGAGTTAACGTTCGTTGCACGACACTCAAACTGATATTTAAATTTCTGTCATCGGAACTTCGCGAAATTAAGAGCGGAACCGAATCTTAAATATTTATTTTTGGTGCAGTCATTCGTGACCGGGCCGACACTCTCGACTCTCTACACGTGACAATTGTTGTTCCACAATTACTCGACGCGTACGTTGTTTCTTTCGTTTGACCGCAGAGTCCACGGTGTACATACCGCAGGCGGAGTATAAAATTGAGGAGGACATTGGAGAGCTGCTCATTCCCATCCGACGCTCCGGGGACGTTTCTCAGGAGCTCATGGTCATCTGCTACACCCACCAAGGTGACACGCCAAGACACGCACGGCTCAATTCTTCAATGCTCTTACGGTGTTGCCTATAAACCGCGGCGTCATTGCAGCCAGTGGCTCTCTGGGAGTTGAGGCTTTGGGACGGCTCCGGAATATATTCGATGACAAATCAGGCCTTCCCAGGCCGATAATATCCATGGTTGGACCCCATCTCAGGGGATCTCAGAAGCTAAGCAGGGTTTAAGGCTGGATATTGCTTGGATGGGCGGCAACCATGCACAGGGGGTTGGCACGCTGCGTCTCTGGAGCCGCCTGTGGCTCTTTGAGGACTACTTCGTGACAGTTATTTATTTATTAAGGACCGCCGTTTTGTTTTCCCATGCACTGCGGCTCTTGGAATATTGCGGGTTTTTTTTTTATACAAAATTCGAAAGAAATAGCTGTTATTTTTATTTTAGTTGCCACCCCTTCACCATGCAAAACGAAACCCAGGAGTTGTAGGCTGCTTCAATGTCCCGGTGTCTGCGCTTCCTGCCTTTGCCAAACCAGACTGACCAGCGTGATGGCCAAATAACTCCCACAGCCTGCTAGGCGTGGCAAGGCCCTCGTCCAGCGATGGATTGACAAAAAGGCTCTACGTGTACATCACTTTGTTATTTGTTTCGGGGGAGTTGGAACAGTAAATCCAGCCGCTCATCGCTGATTGATAGATTTCATTGTACAACGTGAGAACCCATCGAGACTTCAGGTCTCTTCTTTGCAAGGGTGACTTTGGCCAACATTTAACAGCCACTGCAGTGAAATGCAGGTCCAATAACCAGAGAGACAAAAGCTACACAACAGACAGAAACGTCAATAGCACAAGAAAGTTTAACATAAATGGCAGAACGTGCCAAAACAACACATATGTGTGGTGACACCCGACACAGTAGTCTATAATAATAGGAGTCTTTATTTCTTCCAGCACGAGACATCGTCTTCAATTATTTCCTTTACTCCAAGCGTCCAGAACTCCCTCGCTTCCCCTTTATATATCCCTCAAGCCCCTTTCCCGAAGCTTCCTTGACCTTCCACTTTCCCTCCAGCCAATCACTTTCCACTTTCCCTCCAGCCAATCACCTTCCACTTTCCCTCCAGCCAATCACCTTCCACTTTTCCGAACGGATTCCAACCGTCCACCCTGTCAATCATCCTCCGTTCCCTGCTCTTTCCACTTTGTATTTCTCCTCCAATCTCCTTAAATTCCCCGCCTCTAACCAATCCCCTTTGAGACCAAGTTAGGCACCAATCAGAGGGCGTATTTTTACTTCACGATTAGAACCGTGTCACGTGGCGTCAAACCACGTCAGGTGAGTGTCGTTGGCAGTGATACAATCTCTGCACATGCTAACGGCACATTGCCGTGAAGGAGAACGTGATAAGTAACAATCGAATGAGGTAAAGACGATGACCAAAAGCCCAATCTCAGGCAAACGTTCCAAGTGAAGTGTCCAATTGATCATGAAGGCCACTGGCAGAAAGGCAATGACAGAGAAGGCATCGAGTTTTCTGTCAGGTGATCATGGGTCGTATGTCTTTGTTATAGAAATGAGCGACTGAATGGCAGCTTACTTAGAGCTCTGACATCTACAGTCATGGAATACACCATGGAATACTTCTCATAAATAGGTAACACATTTTATTATTCGCGTTATAAAATACACAAGTTTGAAGGCAAGTATTAAACCATTGATTAATCGATTTCATATTGCTTTTTTATGTTCGCAATGCATTCATTGAATCATGTTTAAGACTCAATTATTTACAATTCATGCAAAGCTCTGGGAAACAAAGCAAACAAGATGGTAAAAATGAGGCATAACAAAGATTTTTCTATTGAATTATGACCACTAATCGTGGCAATTCATCGACTTTCTGTGGGGTGAATCACTACATGCACAAAAAATGTACAGTATATATTTGGATATGTAAAGTACTGAGCGGGGTTAAAGGTCATGCTCAAAGTTACATGAGCCAGCTATGTGAGCGATATCCTGAATCATTTCAGGCCCCCCCCTTAATCAATCTGCGCTCACCGCCATGGTGAAGTATAACCAAACAATCTCACAACTGACGCGGCATTAGGAGGCCTTCATCCAGCAGTGGATTGACACAGCTTTAAAATAATATTATCATCATCATTATTTTATGTGATTTGACAGAATGAGGGTGTATGCACCGAATCACTTTTTTTATAAGTACAAGCTCCCTACCGTTCGTGTGTATTCCAAACCTCCCGTTGACTTTAATTAATTAATGACATTTTGGAACAAGTAGACAATTGGGCGAATGTGCGTGTGTTGTGCTGCAGCATTGATTAAACTTTCGCGGGAGAGCTCCGGTGACCTCGCATTGCCTGAGACCACATTCTTCAGCGGTTGCCGTTTAGCTTTACAGAGACGAGCATTGACAGCAACTGACCGAACTCATTTGACGATGAAGGGCTGTCTAGGGCCACGATTGGACAAATACGATTTCTCTCTGGTTTCGCTGGCCATATCTGCTTCATGTAAAAGAAAGCCCTTTTCAGAAAGAGCTCACATCTTTGACACATTTCCAGGGGCAATTCGTGGTAGGCAATGCTACCCGAGCAAATGTATTGTATATATATAACATTTCATACAAGTTTATAAAACATAAGAACGCAGCGTTCCTCAAGAAACAAGCCCCTGAACCTACAGCAAAGCAGCAAGTCAGGAGTGTGTGTTTCATTTAAAATATATATTTAACTTAATACATTTCTCTAACCATTCACGGTCTTTTTTTAGTAAAAATAAAAATAACGGCCATTAATCGTGTGGCTATGATCTATCGCTTCGATGCATTAAGATGAATGAGTAAAATTAGCTGAACTCGATAGTTGAAGTAAATTTAGTGGGTTTTTTTGTCTTTGTAGAACACTGATGCACAATGTACTGAGTCAGTTTTTGGCCTCTGGTGTATTTTTCAAAGAGGGATATTTTCACTGATGAAAGCACTTCATCACTACGAATGGAGTCACCAGTGTTTAATTCGCGGTCATGTCTAACATCAGTGGTGAGTGATATCTGAAACGTTCGCAGGCTGCCCCTTCACTAATCCCCATTGACCAGCGTGGTGAAGTATGGCCAAATGACCGACGCAGCCTGGGGAGGCCTTCGTTCAGTAGTTCACTGACAAAGGAGTGTAATTTAATATCGTGTATATAAGTGTACTGCTCACGCAGCTTATATAAAATTGTCATCGGCACTTTTTCGTTACACTTATCGCTTTCTCCCTTTCCATAGACGATGACCATTGTTTTTCAATCTTATTAAATTTAGCAGCATTAACGGCCACATGCGAGAAGGTGGCCCTGACCTTTACTGGCCCGCCATGGTGGTGAGACGTTCACTACCTCGCTTGGTATACATGAGGCCGTAGGTTCGATCCCAAGCCTGACGCCTGCTGTATAATTGAAGTTTGCATGTCTCTCTCTCTCTGGTGGTCGCGTGGATTATTCTCCGGCTCCTTCGTTTTTTTTCCCTACACATTTAGAAACATGCGTTTCGAGTATTTTCCTGCTTTAAATTTCCACGCAATAAACCATTTGTTTGAGCTATCATTTGTGGCCAGGTCGCTTATGAAAAAGAGCTATATAGCTGAGTGGGCCTTACTTGGTAAAATCGTTTTTTTTATTATCACCGTGAGGAATGAGACGTGTGCGGTTGAACAGGCTGTGCTTGCGAGGAGGCCAAGGGGGGATGACGAGCGGGTTAAACGTGATGCCGCGTCAAGTTTTCACTCTGAAGCCGTTTTTTACGAAACCCGCGTGGAAGAAAAACACAAGGCTCGCTCACGCAACAGGGCCCGCAGTGCAGCGTGTGCAGCGCACCGCGGCGTTGGAATCTGCTCTTTGCAGTGAGAGTTTCACGTGTCTGAACTTTCCCCGCTCGCCCTAATCTGCTCCCCAGGCAGTTTGAGGCACCGGTGACACGCGTTTGTTTGGGTGTCTGTCTCTCCCTCCCTCCCTGTCCCTCTCTTTTGTCTATTTCTCTCACAATTTTCATTAACTTCCACGTTCTGTTGTTTTTTCTTACGTTTCATTCGCTGTCTCTCGGCCGTCGCTCTCACTGTCGCACTCGTGCTGATATCTCGATTTTGTATTTTTCCTCTCACCCCTCTCTCCGCTTTTGTTCTTTGGCAAAAGTATGTTTGCCCGGGGAGTAGGAGAGTGGGTTGTCCCCCACGCACAATGTATACCATGTACTACGTATACACAGTGGCGAGGTGTTAACTACCTCGTCTGGTGTGCAGGAGTTCATGAGTTCGATCTGGACCCTGACACCCCTTATTTTTAGAGTTTGCGTGTCTCTCTCCCCGTGGTCGTGTGGGTTTTTCTCTGGGCCCTCCGATTTTCCCCTCCACATTTAGAATCAACATCACGCGTTTAGAGTATTTGGCTGCTATACATTTCCACGCGATAGACCACTTCGTTGAGCTACCATTTGTGGGCAGGTCACTTCTGAAAAACAGCTACACAGCTCAGTGGGCCTAACTTGGTCAAATATATATATATTTTTAAAGTAGTTTAATAACCACATGAGCCCATCAGTGTTTTTAGTCAGCCGCACAACTACAGGGGGTGGAGCAGTGGTGCAACGGTTAGCGCAATGCACCGTGAGTTTGAATCCCGGCGACGGCTAACATCCCAGTGGCAAGTGATATCTGAACCAATCATGGGACTCGTCTTCACCAACTTGCAATTACTAGCACGGAGAAGTGAGGTTAAACAACCGCCATACCCAACGTGATGTGGGGAGGCCTTCAACCAGTATTGACTCGACAGAGGGCTGCAAAACATTTTAAATTTGATTTTACACTTGCGTGTGAGTGGCAGCTCTCATAAAACATGCTTTAGCAAGCCAGGCATCTATGCTGCCTCGGAATGGTTTTCCCACAAATGACCTTTATGCTGATAATCGTCAGTGTTGCTTTGCTTTATGCCCTGAAGACATGCAACAAACCACACACCCCTTCTAGATCCCCCAATTCAATGGGCACTTCTTTGACATCGAGTAATAATACCACCACTGGTTTTGTCAGCCAGTAAAACTTGAGGAATGTAAAAAAAAAACATCGTGTGTCTGCATATATTTGGGGTGGCTGGAGTGGTGGTGCGCCCTTTGCTATGAACCCTGCGACCTGAATTTAATTCCCAGTAACAGCTCAAGTCAGTGGCGAGCGATATCTGAAACCAATCCTGGATTCCCCTTTTCATCGACCCGCACTGACCAGCACGGTGAAGTACGGTCAAACAGCCCCCATGCCTGGCACGGCACGGCGACGTCTCCTTCCACTCGCGGATTGACAAGGGCCCCTAAAATGGTTAATTAATACAATACGTGCGGATTCCTGCGTCGGTATTGCGAAAAGGTAACCCACTCGTGGCATCTGCGGGCTCACAATGTGCGTGCGAGGATCGGACCGTCCTCCCACTCACGTTCCCACCTGCGACAGACCCTTTGACTTTGTTGTTATCCGCCCTTGCTGACCTGATAAGTCACCACAACGTGAGCGACAGCACGCCGCAGTGGCGGTCGTCCTGTAGAGATAAACTAGCTACCGGCATCTGGTGGCATCGGGCATCTGGTGGAGGTGAGTGAGACCCTTTTTTGCTTGTCTGAGCAGGGAAACTGAATTTGAAATGTGTGTACCTATGGAAGGACAGAGGTGTTATTGATGTATTACCCACAACGCTGCACAACAAGCACATGATGAGTTATTCTACGATATTGCATTTTGTAAATGATATTACCTGGCAAAAGCACAGGGGGGGGGGGGCCTCGTCCCAGCAACGGATTTAAAATGGCTATTATCATTATGAATAACTTACAACCCTTGGTCAATCCACCGCTGGATGGAGGTCTTCCTGCACCATTTCAATCGGGCTTTTGTTCATCGGCAGTGATGATCACGATGATGCTGCTGATGCACACTCCGCCACCACCGCCGCCGCGCGCGACGACCTCCGACACGGCTGCCGCGACTGTTGATCTTCGCAGGCACCGCCACGGGCACCATCCCGACCAGCGTGCTCTCCTACTCCGACTACATCAGCCGCCCCGAGGAGCACATGAGCGTGCTGCGCTTCGACCGCGGCGAGACGGAGAAGGGCTGCCGCGTCGTCGTCATCGACGACTCGCTCTACGAGGACGAGGAGTCCTTCAACGTCTCGCTCAGCATGCCCATGGGCGGCCGCGTTGGGGACGCCTTCCCATCCGCCCGCATCCTCATCCAGCCCGACGCTGACGACGGTACTTTGTGATGCCGCGGCCCGGTTCAGCCGGCACCCCCCCCCCCCCCCCCCCCCCCCCCCCCCCCCCCCCCCACCCCCACCACCTCACTGGGTGGTAAAACTGAATTCTAAAAACGAAACTCATCGTCGACCGTTGTCCATCCACTACAGGGGCGCCACGGTGGCGAGACTTAAACTGGTATACAGGGGTCGTGGGTTCGATCCCGACCCTGACGCCTGTATATTTGGAGTTTGCGTGTTCCTCTCCCCATGGATTTTTCTCCACGTCCTTCGGTTTTTCCCTCTACATTTCGAATGAACATGCGGTTTGAGTATTTGGCTGCTATACATTTCCACACGATGATAAGCCACTTCGTTGAGCTGTCATTTGTGGCCAGGTCGCCTCTAAAAAAGAGCTATAGAGCTCAGTGGGCCTTACCTGGTAAAATAAAACAAAAAATGTATAGTTTAATCGTTTTTACTACTATTCCTCACATTTCTATGATGCCACAAATTATCTCACGCCTCAACACAAATTGATTTCATCAAACCCCACCTCCACAGTGGTCATCCTCTCTGAGAGAAATGTATCTCCTCTTAAGCGATGTGCCCTAAGTTTACTAAAATTACTAACTCCATTTTTATGTTATCAGGTATACATTTTCACATAAGCCACTTCATTGGGCTATCATTTGTGATCGCTCTATAGCTCAGTGAGCCTTACCTGGTAATATAAAAAAAAATGTTTAGTTTTGAGTTTAGTATCCCAACTTTGACTAAACTCATCATCACTTCAGGGTAGGTAAAATAACTACTGCTCAGTGAGTATCAATTGGTTTGAAGTCAAAAGTGGCTTTCCTGTGAAGAGACTTGGCATTTCAACCACCGACTCTGTCCCAGGCAATGTTGACTCAACTTATCATCGCTTCGGGGTGGATAAAATGAGTAGTGCCAGGTGAGTAGCAATTGTTTGAATTCAAAGGTGGCTTTCCTATGGAGAGACTTGCAATTTCCACCACCGACCCAGGGCTCCCAGTATTGATGGCCCACCTTCCAGGCCCCGTTTGATAAAGGTGACAGGTGGGCTGTTTTTAATACTTTGTTTAAATGATCTCCCTACCTAGGTTTAATACACAATTGACGAACTTCAGTGAAGAAAATCGGACGATTGCGTTGTTCACGTGAGATAGAGGGTCCGTTCCTAGTGATAAGTGGAGAACGGGAGGGAAGTGCCTTTGGCGAGAAAGTCAAACCTCTGTCGACTCAGCGAACGCACACCCACAAGGGCCACACATTGCAAGGCCGTCTTTTTTATCTCTGAAATGTGTGCACTCTCTTAGCCTCGCGTTACGTAACGAATTCAGAGAAGAATATCTTTGCTTGCCAATGCTGCGGATAATTATTATTAATATAGGCGGCGTGAAGAATGTTTGTGAGTGATGGTTACACGTGGTGAGTGCGGCTGGATCCGTAGTCTTGATAGAGAGAGAGAAAAAAAAGACGCGTTCGAACAAATTTGCTTACTTAAAATTTGCTTACTGAAAATTTGCTTATTTCAAAAAAAAAACGCTCGTTCTCGTGCGGTTGTTTTTTTTTGTTGCCCAATGTTCTGCAGAGGGCCTTTGTTCCTGCGTACAGCAAAAAAATAGAAATATAATCATACAAAAAGAGCTAAATGAATAAATACAAAAGCGCTCGCACGCCCCACATAAGCCAAGCCCTTTTATCTCGAGCGTAAATATTTGGGCAACATTCGTGCCTGCGCGGGTGTTGAAAAATTAGTGCAGCGAATTACGAAATGGTGAAGATCAATGGCTCGCACGCACGCCCTCATCGTCAAGGAAAATTGCACGTGTTATTATCAGAGACGTATTTAAAGCGACGTTGTTGAGGTTTCTTTTGTCTTGTAATGCCAATGCTGTTCATTGCATTACGATTAAAATGTGAAAACAACAGTCGAAAGATTCTTAAACTATAATATAATATACTGCTCTTTAAATTTTGATTTAAAGCTTTCGTGACTGCAGTAATTCATATTCTTAGTTTTTTCGGTAAAGTCACGTTGAAGAGAAACAACAAAATAACAAAATATATATTTTGTTGTTTCTCTTCAACGTGACTTTACCGAAAAAACTAAGAATATATACTGCTCTTTGTAAATCCACTGCTGGATTAACGCCTTCTCATTCCGTGTCAGTCAGAGGAAGACGTTTGACCATATTTCACCATGCTGGTAATTACGATTTAGAGAATAGGGGGGGGGGAGGGTGGTGGGGGAGAATTCCAAACCAGTTCAGATATCACTCGCCACTAATATTGGCCGTGGCACAAATTGATTTGAGGAGTCAGCGGGTTCATAGCGTAGGGCACGAACCATAGCACCACTCTACCCAGAAACGCGCTATTACTGTCTATCATGTTCACCCTCTGTAAGAGCAACCTGACGTCTCATATATTAGTTCATGAAAATCGATTTATATTGTTGCCCTTATTATAACCGTTGGATTATTTCACACATGGCCCAATGTGTACTGCGGTAAATCCGGGATGCTCATGCTGGTGCGCTGAAAATTTAAACACGTAAAATCATCGATTATCTGTTTGACCGAGCCACAATTTGGTTATTTGAGTGATACAAAATTGATATTTCCGGACAAGCACCCGCAAAACATGACAGCTCGTATTTCTTTCACAACCAGTGCGTTTGTTTTTTAAGGGGTCACGCTGTGTCAGACGTACCAGTATGTCGTAAGCCTGGGTGCAACATCGGCTTTGAGTTAGCGGTGTTGTGCGGTCATACGCAGAATGAATATGCACGTTATTTTTCCCGGTTACAAGTGGCTTCTGTTGTAAGCAGGATAATGGGGCATTTTGTTGCGGTCTCTTGCAGTGAGTGAGCATTTAGCTTGCCTCACTGAAAGACAGCAGGGCATATTCTTTTTTCTTCATCCCATGCCAAAGGAACAAAGAAAATAAAGGAAGAAGGATCGGAAATTAAAGTTTCAGAGGCTATTTGAGGTCACCATTGAAGATTTTTAGGAAACACTGTGCTTGCATTCAGTGCACGTAACAGACTGGGCACGCATCATACGACACGGAATGCATTTTGACTGCGGCACCCAATAATACTGGTACGAAACAATATACATAATTTTGATTTAAAGCTTTCGTGACTGCAGGGATTCATATTCTTGGTTCTTTCGGTAAAGTCACCACCACGTAGAAGGGAAGCAATAAAATAATAAAAATATAAAACAATACAATTCTCACGACGTTTCGACTGCAACACAAGCAATCATCATCAGGTGTGAAAACCACAGCAAGAATATAATATAAATACTGTCATTCTTAAAAAATAAAATCAAAGGCAGGGGAATTAACTCAATGTATCGTAGCTAAATTATCTCATTATTTCTCAAATGCCACACGGTGCAATGCCATTGATGCAATGCTGACCTTCAGTGAACACTATTGGGAGTTCATGGCTTGAAAATAAATAATGCCTATTGATCACCCATTCGGAGACAAAATTGTATTGTCATATTGTTATATATATCATCCTATGTGTGCAATCTCCTTTCCTTAACCATTTCAGAGTCCGGTGAGATACAATCCACTAGAGAAATGAGAACCATGCAAGTACATGCTCACATAGCAATTCGTGAAAACATTTTGGCAGTCACAATATATGCATTCAATTGGCTATCCAAGTATTGTGTTTTTTTTTGCAATTTTAACAAATCGTTATGCTCAGGTGTCTTCAAGCTAGTCGAACGAATGCGATGGAACAAGCTAGGCGAAACGTTCAAGACATGCAGTTGAAACGAGACAATTTTATACAGGTCAAACTAATGGGTTCCCGGGTTGAACCGTGACACTGAATTTTAACATTAATCACAGTACCCTGGCGTCTACAAACTAAGTTACCTCTATGGTAGTAGTTACATTGGAGAAACCACACGACATGTCTCGGACCGCATTCATGAACACAAAGCAGACATAAAACACGGTAGGACCAACACCTCGGCCGTGGCAGATCACTGTTATAATTCAGTAGGCTCACATGACATTGACTTCTCCAAGACAGAGGTTCTTTGCAAGCCATCTGGCTACCATGAGAGATTCGTTCATGAGGCTATCCACATATACAAACACAGAGACAATTTCAACCGAGAAGATGGATTCTGGATTAGCAATCATTGGAAAGATTTGATAAACCATTTCGGGGCTTAATTGATTGTTCACGCTTACGGTGGCTTTCAGACCGCATAGATTATTTTCGTCTCCCCCCTCCTATTTTCCGAACATAGATGGACTCGTCCATCTGAATAACTGCCAAATCGCTCTCCGTGGTGCTAACGTTAAAAATATAAAAATATAAAAAATGCCACTTTTTTCTAATTTTCTTGCTGTGGTTTTCACACCTAATGATGATTGCTTGTGTTGCAGCCGAAACGTCGTAATAATTTTATTGTTTTATATTTGTATTATTTTATTGTTTCCCTTCTACGTGACTTTACCGAAAGAACCAAGAATGTTAATCACGCTGGTGGAGGAGAGAAGAGTGATTCATTAAATCCCTAAAAAATTGAAGCGCCGTTTTTTTAGTTCAGTGATGGGTCATTTATAAACTTTGGAATATAAGTACGTAAATTTGATATCCAAATATTCATCCGCTCGTCATTCAAAATTGGGATATCAATGCAGGCCATCAAAGTCCGTTTCACGTTATTTTCAGTGTTTCATTTTACACGGCATATTTACATTCACTTAAAATGCTGGGCCCTAACATATAGTTTTCATGTTGTGTACCATTATTAAAACAAATCGCTTACATTCCATAAAGGAGTAAAGTCGAGCAGTGATGGCAGCTGGCAGTGATTTCTGTGGTCAGCTGTGAGCATTGCCTCATGCCTGCAAATTGAAACATTGCTATAGACAGTGGCTATTCATCCGGCAGTGGATTGATCGTGGCTGATCATGACGATGATGACTATGAATCCTGGATAAAGCAGGTAA